TTTCTTTCTTTCTTTCTTTCTTTCTTTCTTTCTTTCTTTCTTTCTTTCTTCCTTCCTTCCTTCCTTCCTTTCTTTCTTTCTTTCTTTTCTCTCTTTCTCTCTCTCTCTCTATCTCTCGTTCTTTCTTTCTTTTTCTTTTTTTTTTTGGGGGGTGCATTGATGTGTTAAGCAAGAGCAGTTGGAATCACAAGCTAAGGAAGAAGGCAGGGGCATGATTTATTTTGAACTGGAAAGCTGAAACACATCCCGTCTCAAATCACTCCTGTAAAACTGCCCGAGGCCCTGGGCAGAGCCTCAGAAGGTTACTCAACACAGCCCCACCAAAGCTAACACCAAAGCTAAGCAACCAACACTGAGGATGGCATGAAGCTGGTGGCGGCAGGTGGGCTGCGCATAACTGCAGATGTGATTTCCATTAATAAATCAGCTCCTGATAATGATACCAGCTTGTGTTTCTGTGTGTCTGTTTTATAAAGGACAGCGTGGTTGAAATATGATAAGACTTAAAAGAGCATGAGGTTATTTACCCTGCTTTATTTGGGAAGGGACTTCCCATGTCCTGTGCTGACATACAATTGCAGAGTGCTCGCTCGAGATCTCAACCTGCCCCCAGGAAAAAAATGACTGATGGGAGTAGGGGGACAATTAAAGTAGAAAATAATACAATCAGAGCAATGTTATGTTACAGTAACAGAGTCCTTAGTTCTGACTTTTCAGCTACATTTTCTAACACACCTACAGAAATACTAAACGTTTACATGCATAAGCCCCTAAGGATGGATATTAAAAAGGAGGATCAAAGATGTGAAGTGCTAGGCTACTCTAGGTGATCTCAGCTCATCTGTGCACACATCAATAAGGAAGAGGTACGTCATAAAACTCATTTAGTCATCTGAGAGGCAGTGTGTGTTGAAACTACTCATTATGTTAGTTTATTAAGTCTTTGTTTGCTTGATTGTTTCTTTGTCTCGATACAGAGGCTGTAACTCAGTTTTGTCTGGGAAGTTTGATCTTCCAACCCTAGCTTCTCAAGAGCTGGGTTCACAGGAAGACACCACTCACCACAACCTCCTCTGCTTTCATTCATTTATTCATTCATTCGTTCACTCATTCATTCATTCACTCATTCATTCATTTATTACTTCATTCAGCTGAACCTGTAGTTTCTTAAGAAATTATGAACAGCATGGAGACTATCAAAATGAAAAAAAATCAATAATATAAAAGAGAAAAGGGTCCGTTAACTGACTTCCGGTGCTAACATGCTGACTTAAAGAGGATTTTGACATTTTTTTATGATTTATGTTCACTGGTGTTTTGTCTGTGTGTATGTCTTTGTGGGGGTGTTGGATCCATCGGAACTGGAGTTAGAGACAGCTGTGAGCTGGCATATAGATGCTGTGAATTGAACTCTGGTGTCTGGAAAGAGATCCAGTACTTTTAATTGCTGAGCCATCACGCCAGCCCTTCTTAGGTGATTGTTAAGAGTTCTTTGTTACAAGACATTAACTATGCTTTATTAATGTGTTTGTTATGACCTTTTCACACCTATTTCTATGTCTGTCATATTTACCCAGTAGCATTTCTTGTCCCATGCCCACTGATCTCCTTTCTTTCCTAACAGTCCATCTATCAAATAGACACTGTCTTGCATGACTGTCATTTTGTAGGAAAACACTATAACAGGTATTCTTTGCACCAGTGTGCAATCCCAGAACTTGAGAGACAAAGGTGGGGGGGGTGTCACAGGTTCCAATTCAGGTTGTGATATATGATGGGACCATGACAGGAAACTAAACAGTGTAAATGAGGATGGCGATAAGAAAAAGAAAAACGAGATAGGGAGAAAGAAGTCACAGTATTGGTAGAAAACAAGTGGATTTTTAAATAAAAATGTAATTACCTTGTTCTTCCCTTTCCTTCCCCCCCCCCCAGCTCCTTACATGTCTCCTTTCTCCAACCCCTTCCCCATCACTTACACTGTCCCAAATTCCTGGCTTCTTCCCCATGTTCCTGGTTCATATGTCTATTGTGTTGTAGATGTTCAGGTCATGTTTAGACAGCCATTCGTCGGGCTATGATGGGTGTAGTTTCCACACCATTTCGAGGAGACACAGTCTCACATCAGATTTTTCTGGTCCTCTGGTTTTTACAGTCTTCTCTCTTCCTTTCTCCCAGTGTTCCCTGAGCCTAGGGAGAGAAAGTGGGTTTTGGATGTTCCACTGGGAGTGGGCACCCCAGACTCACTTGTTTTTTGCATCTTAACAAGTTTGTAGTTTTCTACAATGGCCTTAGTCTGCGGAAAAATAGAAGCTTCTTTGATGAGAAATGAAAGGTATACTTACCTGTGGGAATAAGTGTTTAAGATATTGTTAGGGATTAGGCTCATCTAGAATGCTGATGTATTTTAGTCTAGTGAGTTCTCTAACACCTATGGTTTCATTAACCTCTGGTAGTTGGGTAGTATTTCTATAAAAAGCATCATTTTTCTCCATGTCTTGGTGGTAACCAACAGCTCTCTAATTGGACCTAAGGATCACTCAACAAGTGCTTACAATACTTGTGTTAAGTTTTTAAAACTAAAGCAACAATGTTTTCATTTCTGAAACTTTTGTTGATACAACAGATTATGCTTTTCCTTGTAATACTAATCTGTAGAGGGGAAGGGCCACCATGAAGAACCAAGATGGGATTTTCTGAAACAGAAGAAATTAGAAAAGGACAGAATCCACACAGGAATTTGGGTGTCCTCCTCCTCCTTATTCCCTGCCTCCAGACATGAGGTAATTTAAAAAAATTTTTATCCACTTTATTTTTATTTTATGCATGTATATATTGTCTGCACACTTGTCTGTGCATCAAGACATGTCTACTTCCCCAGAAGACCAAAATAGTACACCATACCATCTCTGAATGACCAACTTAGGAACTGGAGTTTAAGATCATTGTAAACTGCAAGATGGTTGCTGGGAATATCTTTTGAGTCCTCTGGAAGAGCAGCCAGATGTTAAGACAGCTCTTAACCGCTGAGCCACCTCTCTACTCTAAAGATAGGAGGTAATTTTCCAGGTTGCTTCTTCAAAACAACTCACAGGGTTAGTTTTATTCAACAAGTATTGGTGTTGAGCATTTCTTACATGGTGGAGGGGGC